CTTCTAAAATCTCAGATGAAATGCATGTGAATCGTTGGACAATTTCAGATGATCTAAAGTACCCCAGTGACTGACTCAGGGTTTAAATGAACTCTCCTTCTGGAACAGAAAGGCCAGAGTTTCCTTCTTTTCTTTTTTTGAGTTGAACTTTTTTCTTGAGTTCTTGTATAAGAAAATAGAAAAGTGAGGGGAGGATGTAAGATTGCTATAGGGTCAACACGTGTGGTGCTTTTAACTTGGAGCCAAGACACCACATGCTTTAAAAAGAATGAGTGACAATTCCAAGTCAATAGCCAGGATTGCAGTATGTTGGTCTATTTTCTAATACCAATGAGAAAATGTGCTGCTGAAAAGAGCTGAAGTAATCTACAGTAGCAGAGAAAACAAAAGCATGAATAACATTTTCATGACATTTAAATCTGGAGATGGCTGTTATTGAGAGTGTGGGCTTTTCTCATTTCTCTCACATTTTATGCTTCCATTTCTTTCTTCTCCATCCTTCTGCTTGTAATTTGGAAATTTATCTCAGTGTGTTGCCTTAAAGGAATTCCTAGTTCCTAAAATACATCTGGAGGAGATGGGAATGAGGACCTCTGCAGAAGGAGCTATAAGCAAAGATTAAGCAGCAACTTCAGGGGCTGAAAACTGAAACAAACATAAAAGAGTCACCCTTAGTGAGGATGCAGAGGTGGTCCGCTTATCTGTAAAGTATAAAAGAACCATGACACACCAGGAATATAACGCTAAGGGTTAAAATCATGTGTACAGAGTGTGTTAAGGGTTAATAATATGTGTGGATAAATTAAAAACACAAGCTATAAAAAATATTTAAGGCCATGATCATGTAAAAATCACAGATAATTTTGAGTTAAAAGCAGGACGAATTTTTTTAAATTTTGTGTCTTTAAGTACAGATGCTGGGTTTGGTTGTACTTGACTTATGTTACTCAAAGATGCCACTAGATGGCGCATACTGCTCAGGATGAATGCAAAACCTTGTTAGAGGCAAGTAAATGAAAATAAATAGTATATGAATATATAAAGAGTGTTGATATTTTGTAGCCATAAAATCAAAAATTGTTTATATTCTTTGCACTTTAAGCACTTGTTGGCCATGTCTTAGAACTGATATGCCTTTCCTGAAGAAAATGTTGCACGCTTTGTTTTGTAGGGAAATACGTTATCATACTGAAAAAAGGGAATTTCATCATTACTGTCATAACCTGATTTTGACTGCTGGAATGAGAAAACTGTTGTTTGAGCAAGCAACTTAAAAACAGCCCCAAATAATATGTAAACTGTAGTGTGCTTGTTGAAAGTGAGCAAGCACAGTGCTTGTAATTTTAAGCTGTAAAGACTTTTGTATATTGTTTTAGGAACCCTTACACGTGCATTGTTATTGTGTACTTAAGGAGTGTTCGGGGACTTTTGACATTAGCATTAGAACCACTGAAGCTAGTTATATCATTAGCTTGAAATAGATTGTTTGGTATAAAACAAATGATTTGGTCAAAATAAACATTCTGACTTGATGAACGTGTCAGATAAAAACTCAAAAAGAAAATAAATGATCTTATGCAAGACAGGGAAAAAATAAATTTACTAAGCAAAAAGACGTACATTTTTCAGCAAGAATACAAAGCACAAAAAACATGGTTTAAAATGACATTTTGTGAAAGCACTAAAAGGAAACTCCAAATATTCAGAGGTAACATTTTCATCCCTGTAAGATTTGATTTGTTAATATTTGTGAAGTTTACAACATAGAGAAAATTTTAATTCAAACACAAAATGGAAATCCATCCATCCATCCATTACATCTGAAGAGATCAATATTTATCCTTAGCAACTATACAAAAGAATTCCTCAATTATCATCTATTATGTCATTCACAGTGGAGTACACTGCCTCATCTTCCCCTTCCTTCTTTTCTGGTTCACAGTGTTTCATCTCCCCCTCCAACATTTTACCGTCGTCTCCATCATCATCTACTTGTTCTTTTTTTATTATCCTCTTGATTTCAGCGTACTCCGTCTTTGTGCTTTCTTGCGTCCTTGCTGGCTTTGTTTTTAACAGGGAAAAATCAATGGTGGCATATTCCACTTCTTTTGTCCCACTGTTTGAGTTCAGGGTCTGGTTGTTTTGTGATGCTTGACCATCATATATCTGTTAGGTACAAAGTAAATTGTTTCAGTCATTTATCAGCTACAGGCAGCCCAACATTGTGCAAACTATCCATTTATCTAGTGTGTATTCTTTCATGCTTCAAAGGGTGTGAGTTCTGCGCCATATTCTAAGTCAAGCTATCCTATTTGTTTGGTTTCTCTCTCCATCTATCCCTTCCTGCATTGTGCTGGTGTAAGGGGTGCACCTGCAAATTGCTAGGCAGTGTTAAACGTCGCCTAGCAGAATAAAGGCAGCGTCACTTTATTCTGAAGCCTCTGCCTACCATTACAGCTATGCCTTGTTGTCAGCCCATGTTTTCAATGATGCACCTATCTAAAGTTGTATAATATGTAGTGTTCATTAAAGGATTGGCTTTTCATTTCTGGAAAACAATCATCTTTCCTGACACTGTCTTGTGTGTTGTTATTTAGTGTAGTCCTGGTGGACTGAGCTGACTTATTATTGTTTCACCTGATAGCGCTGTGCAGTGAGTGGTTAGTTTGGTGGGGTGGTTTGTTTTAATATAAGAGATGGTTCAGTGTGTGTGTGTGTGTGTGTGTGTGAGAGAGAGATTCCTATCTACATACTATGCATATACATCTGCCTTTATATAACACAGAGATGTGAAAGATTTTTATTTTTATGCCTTGAAATGATGAGTTTTATCCAGTGGAATCCAGTGTGGATTACCAGCAGCAGTAAGACTTCTTCCAAATGTATGTGAGATATTTGTGCAGAAACCCATTTTATTATTTTAAGTTATATCAAAAAAGATGAATCAACATAAATACCAGTGG